TCCAAGCAGCAATTTCAGATGAGACTACTACTTTTTCCCCCCAGAAAGGTAACTATGTTAGTTTGTTTCAGAAAAACAAAAACAAAACATACTGTACTGTAGAACTTCTAGGTCTAACAAGGTTACTTCTTGTGAGCTTTCAGGGATTGATATCCAGTTCTTTATACACAAGGAGTAGAATATCAAGACCACAGATTTGCATACATGATAGACTGAATTATACCTCAGCCCTTACTGACCATCAGAGTATATACACTAAATGGGGGGCAGTAGGTAAATGAATGACCTACTTTAGAGCTATACAGCTTCAATGTCATCCCCAAAGTAGGATTTAGCCACAGATTTAAATATGAAGCAAATCCTTGTAGTTAAGAAATTAGATTTCTTGGGGTGGGGGAAGAGATGTTATTAATCTCTAGCCAGGAGATTAATGGCAGGAAACCAGGACTTCTTTTGGCTAGAGGGCAAAATGGTCCACATTGTGGTGATTTAATTCTGCACTTTACTAAAGCAACTCATAGACATTCAGGTCGGGTAGCCAGCTGAAAGATAAAAAGAAACACTCAAAAGGGAAGGGGGAACGAGGAGGAAAAGAAGCTCAGCCAATTTCTGGCAACATCCAACTACGATTCTGAAAGCAAACTTGAAGCAGACACATTCTGCCAAGCTGCAAGTTCATTTTTCCAACATTGCTACATAGCATGCTCTGCAATATGAATCATGAACACACATACACTAAAATCTCTTACCAGGTAAAGTGAGGTTAGAAAGACACAGTCATTCAATCTCAGAGAGTGTCCCTGCTACAGCTGAGAATCATTACACACAGCTACAGATCGCTCCAAGATTATCCCTGCTAGCCACATTCACAGATTTCCTGACAGCAATTTCTTCAAACTTAAGAATTCCAGAGTAAGGTTGCTAGAAAGACATTCAGGTACTAAAAAAAAGAGGAAGAAGAAAGAAGAAGAAGAAGAACCAGGTACTAAAAAAAAAGAGGAAGAAGAAAGAAGAAAGAAGAAGAAAGAAGAAGACCACAAAATGTTTGAACTAGGCCAAAGAGTGGCCAATGTATACAACACTCCCAACTGGTTAAAGACTAAGGGACCTAATCCCTTACTCCACCAAACATGGGACCACCATCAATTCAACATCTTCAAGTGTTCAATAATAAAGCTAAACCAAACCTGCTGCCTCTTGCAACACAAGAGAGCTAAATCTGAAGAGGATAGCGGACTCTCCACATAGGGAGCCCCCTCAGGTTTCTTACTTCTTTGAACAGCCCCCATGGATAGGCTGCTCCTCTGTGGAGCTCCAGCTACCCACATGTGAAAGCTAAGGCTGAAGTGGATCAGGCAAACCTACTCCTCTCCTTATGGCTTCAGTTTAGCCTTTCTATTGAACACAAGAAAATGGCTATCTCTGCTCTGTTTCTCCTGGTAAGATCTCCTCCACTGTCGCTGCTCCAGTGAAGTTAATGGACTATAATTTCTATTAGTTCCACACATAAGGGCTAGATTTGAAAGGAGTCAAAGAACAATGCATCTCAAAAGCACTAGGCTGGGGGAGACTAAACTAGAGAAAGATGTGTGATATGATATCACGCCAAACTTTTCAATACTGAGTCTTATATGCAGGGCTTGAAAAATGCACCCGTCCACTAGTCTGTGACAAGTGAAAAATGCTGCTCGACAACAGCTCCCTCTCTGTCTGCCTCCTTCCCCTCCGCCTGTTTCTCTCCCTCTCTCTAATCCTGCAGTCCTCCCCTTCCCCTCCCATTGCAAAGGGAAAACTGTCCTCTTTTGGTGAGAAGAGAGTTTGAGTGACACATAGAGATATATTCTGCAGGAGAATATAGAGTACTCCCATGCTGGAAATTCCCTGCTCCCAATTTCAAATGAACGAGGACACATCCTGGGGTGAGAAGGAACCGTGGCTCCTTAAGAGGTGCTTTTGCTTTCCATTTTATTTTTGCTGGAGACATTCAAAAGAAAGTCATTCAAAATAAAAGCTTCATGACCTCACAGACATGAAGGTAATAAAGGAACCCAAGTCTGAGGGTATAATGAATCTGATATTTAAAAAATTCAGATTGTGCTAAAATGACCTTATGATGGCTAATCTAAATGGGCCTCCACTACCACAGTTTAATTCTATTAAAGCCATCGATAAATGGTACTTCACTGCTAAAGCTATCAGACATGTACAAGGACACAAGTGCAACACCTCTAACAGTAGTGCATTTTCTACTAAGAAGACATAGGCGAATACCGTGTACGCAAACAATTCATTTTACATTTGTACACATTGTTACATAGAAATAAAAGCAATACAATTTTTTTTACATTTGTACTCATTGTTACATAGAAATAAAAGTGAACAAGTGCCCAGTTGAAATGTGTTAACATACATTGCAAGGCTATAGTCCGGTCATGCTGACTGGTGAAATTTTTGACTGACTGGTGAAACATTCTAAAATTTTTCAAGCCCTGCTCATATGTGACCGTCAACCAGAGCCTGTCAATGGCCCATCTTTTGGACTACAACACCTAAAATCCCCCAGCTAGCACAGGCTGGCTGGGGGATTCTGGATACCGCAGCCCAGAAACAGACTAGCAGTAGTAACTACTAGTGAATAGTAACTTCAAGCTTTGCAGTTAACAGAATGGCCAAATAAAATGGAATATATGGAAATAACAAACACAAAAGGCTGAGGACCAACACAGACAGCAAACTTTTACTAACTTACGAAAGAGATGGGGTTAACAAAGGTGTTGTGTTTGTTCTCAGTTTCCTACTTGTTGTCTAGGGTTTACAGCAATGGAATACAGCTTATGAAGCTACAGGGAATACAACTGTTTAAAACTGGCATAATTAGGCTGGTGCTCACTTGTTTCCTGAGACGTTTCCTCTACAAGATATAAGAAATACTGCATTGTATTGGGATAGCAACTATTAACCCTCCTCATCACTGGCTATCCTGGCTAAGGCTGATGCAAGTTGCAAGCCTAACATATGGAGTGATGCACACTCCCCTCTCCTCCCCTACAAGGAGGGGAAAAAACGCTTAATCTCCCAAAACTGATTGGAAGGATACTTTAATTCCAAGTCAATCAATATGAATGTGCTCTTTTCCAACTTTTATTGTTGCCCAGCAGCTTTTCTTTCCAACCAAAGAAACTACAGTACCCATTAAAATATACACTGCTAGCCATGGTTCTATCTTCAAAGCTTACAACATCTGTCTCATATTATGCTTGCAGTGTGGTGGGGTGTATTTTTATGGCATTTTGAAGTATTCCATTTTTAAAAAAATTGATGGAAATATTGAAAGCCTTTGAAATAAATAAACTAACTGCTTTTCATATAAAAGACTCAGTATTTTCCAGAGCATTGTCATTCCTCGGTGTGGGAATATACGGTTTCTGAGGCAGAAGCAGGGATACAAAAGCACACTGAGATATGAGCCAGTGTGGTGACGTCAAACGAGGAAACTCACTGGAAGATTGCATTGGCAAAGCCATTCCTTATATATCTCACATAGCTTGAAAAGCCTATTTAGGATCACTGTAAGTCTGGATGGCTCATAACATACACATGAAATAAAGACTTAATCGGCTGGAAACATTGATCACATTGATGCACATGCTATGTACAAGTTACAGCATTATATATAGAGAGAGATTTGTTCGAACCTACCATTTGATGAGGCTATCCCACCCCTCTAGATAAGAAAACAGGTATACATTTTTTCACATGTATGCCAATAAGCTGAAGGAATTTACAAAATACAGATTGTGGCATTCAACCTTATTATGCTTAATAGGTTATGCATTACTCATGTTCTATGCTGATATGGTTGAGAGGTGGGGCCACCAGAGATGTTAAAAAGGGGGAGCCTGAGAGGAGAAGGAGAGAGTGAAGTTCAGTCAGAGTGAGAGAGAGACAGTTGGGAAATCTGAGGTGTGATTAGTCTGAGGAGTGAATAGTAACTTGTGGGATTTAAATAGAAGATTGATGCTTGATGAAACTGAAGTAAATACTTATGAATTATTAAACAAACATCTGTAATTAATAAACCTGTTTTAAGAAAAACTGAAAACTGAAGGAACCTTCATCATCCTTCCTAAGTAAAGTATGTTGATTTAGTGATCAACTGGTGGCAGTGTGTGAAAAGGTGTTTGGTTTGCCTTCGTGTGCTCTGTGTTTGGAAGACAAACAGGGGCCATGAGGGGCAAACGTCACACAGATTTACAAGCCTGGGGAAAATATTTTATCTATGCTTCCCCTGTTACAGAGAGAGAGAACTGTTAAGTATTGCTTACATAACTTCAGCTTTCTGTTCACGCAGTGTAAGGATACATTCTCTAAAAATGAGAACAGTTGGTTCACATTCAGAGGGCTCCATACAGGTAGCTAGATGCATTCATCCACTTCCAGCCTATTTGTTCCTTCTTAGCCTACTAACACTTTCACTGCTGTCAGCAATTCAGAGGCAAAGAGAGCAATGCAACATTCAGGTTCACCTTACTTGCAACTAGAACTTTAACTAGACGTTAGAAGGTGTCCTGTTTTGTAAACCCAATACCTAGGTGACAATTCAGTGGAAAGGGCACAGCTCTTTTTTGTACTTTGCTCCAGACAAAGAACGATGGGTAAGTCAAGGAGGGCATCCAGGCAACAAACAAGATTGCAAAATCACAGAGACAAGCTTACAGCCAGGTCTGCTCAGCAGACCAATCATGAAAAAAAACAGGATCTCCACTGCAAGTACCAAAAAGCATGCTGCTGAGTACCAATATGCTAACAGGTGGTATGGGAAAACTGGGCTCTGTAGCTGGGACATTGTAGTGCCACAGTGCACCCACCTGCCTAAGGCAACTTCTCCAGTACAAAGTAACCTTGCCTTTGTCCACCTTCCCATCACTGACAAGAAAGCAAATGGTTTTTGTGTCTGAGTGAGTCACAGGATGAACAACATCACACTTGGGCCACATTACCTGAAGCAAGGAGGAGTGTTGTATAAGGAGTTGTTCTCCACTTGCACTTTGTAGTCCAACACTATGGGGCACTCTTTGAGGGCAAAGCCGAGCAAGTCTTCTCGCACTATTACCACCGTGACTCCAGCACAGCCGATATTCTTCTGGGCACCAGCAAAAATTACACCAAACTGAAGATGGGAAGGAGATAGAAACAAGATAGATGTTATCTCTACAAACACATTTGGGTGCTATAACCACAACTTACACTGGCATTTCAATATCTCATGGGGGGTGGGGGGAGACACAGATTGGGATGGGAGACCTTCAGCCCACTCTGAATCCCTTACTATGCTGGCTCGAGCTTCCGAATGCTGAAGTTCAAAACATCTGGTAGGCTAAATGCTCTACACTCCTGCCATATGTAATGGAAATCCAAGTGGATGTAATAAGTGTGGATTGCAATGAAACCCAAGAAAAAGCTGAGTGACCGTTAATACAGCCCGAAGGCATTAAATATTTTTTATATTTGCCTTGACACCATATAATGAATAATAACTTATCATGGAGGATGAAAATGGCCAAATTTTCACTGCTAGCAAATGTTAGCAATGAGAAGCATGTGACAATAGTTACATTGCCCTTCTCAGGTTAAGGTACATATGTGGTGGAGACTGACCGACTGAGATTTAATCCATGGTGTTAATTTGCTGGACACACTGACACCACAAACATATGGCAAAGGTAAAGTTCAACAGCACTTAAGCCATCAGAATGGTTCAAGTTATTCTTATTCTCTTACAGAATCTTTAAAATCCTAGCTTTCAGAGGAAAACTAGCCTACATGTTGTTGTTTTTTGCTTAACAGCAAATAAACATTTTGTATTGGATACCAACCTCTCCTTAGAAGGACTCAAGAGCATAGAACGATACTGCACATCATGCCCTGTACTTTCAAATCTGTTGTTGTAGGAGTAGCTTGACTTACCCACGTGATAACATCCTAAACTAGTCAGAGAAAGAGTTTGAACCACCCAGCACATAGCGACTTTCCTCCCCAGGAAGTTTACAACTTACAGCTTACAATTGTTAGGGAGATTTACCTTGGAAACATCCACAGGCCTAGAGAGGAAGTTTGAGGACATATCACAAACTAAGACTGCCTTTCCAACGTCAGGTGCAAAATCAAACTCTACACCATGGACGGTTTCATTTGCACAGTAATAGACATAAGAGGCATCGGGGTTAAGGTTCCAAGTGCTAGGGTCAGGAATTTCTGAAACAGATAAGGTGACAGACAAACAATGGTTACGTTTTCCAAATTGTAGACTCAGCAGTCTGGCTGTAATGATGACATGGTGCTTTCCTTAAACAATGAACTTTGACAGCAACTCTGGTTCAACACATTTCTACTGCTTTGCCAGCAAAGTAGATTAGTTCTTGGACTTGGTACAAAGAGAAAACTTGCCGGCGGAGAGACTTTAACAAACTCTGGGAAAAAAGACAGAGAGGCAACCCTCTGTATATCCTTCTGGAAACACAATCCCCTAAAACCAACAGGATAATGTGTGCTCATTTTAATATGCCAAGACAAACTGCCATTCAAAATAATTGTAGCATTCAAATAAAAAAGCAATCTTCTGCAACATAAGAAGTATTTGGCCCACTGAAAGGAACATTGGTCTCCGTTTTTTAACATTCCCTCCATCTGTCTATCATATCATCTTCCCTAGCATAACATTTTTGCAGTCTTTCTCTATGATGATTTCTGTCAAGTGAATTGGGGTGGGGGGGATGATTTCACTCCATCCTTCCATCAATATTTGCTCCAAAGAACTGAGGAAACCTCCTGAGTAGGATTTCACATGGTATGAGAAGCTGCAACAAGAAGTGGGAAGGAAATCCCACTGGGCTAGTGAATGTCCATCGGAATGACATTGGATTTAGGCTCCAGATGTACCACTCACACACTTAAGCACCAACAATGCATTTGTATGTGGAAAATGTGGAAAATGCAATTATGCAGTGTGCTTGTGTGTGTGTGCTTGCTTGTGTGTGTGTGTGTGTACTAGAGATGGGGGTCTCATTATGTCTTGCACAGGTGGACATAACGAGGGTCCAGCCCTCTGGGGCCAGACCATCCACTCACCCTCCTTTGTTGCTGAGAGCTCTGAGCTCCCTTCCTATCATTCCAGAGCTCGTGGTCTGCGAGCCACTCTTTAATCTTGGCTCGCCGCAGCAACAGGAAAGGAACGCGGAGTTTGCAGCAACAGCAGAAGATGAGTGGACAGTCTGGCCCCAGGGGGCTGGACCCTCATTATGTCCACCTGTGTGAGGGTATTCGCATAGGAATACCCCCATCTCTAGTGTGTGTACACACACACACACCTCTATCTCATGACGTGATGCAAAAACTTCACATCCATGGGGAAAATGTCCATTTCATCCTGGGAAGGGAACAAAGGCTACTGCTTTGTACAAAAAGCAAGTCAGTTGTATGTCCTATGTCGGCACATGGATTCCCAATAACACTATAAAGCACCTTATGAATGCTAAAACCTGCCCAGGCCAAAACAGCCTGGTTCAGATATTATAATTTACCATAGATATAGCACTGCCATTATTGGCTGCTCAATATATATCTTTTAAGACGACTTCTTATTTATTAACTTAACATATATTCTGATGTTCCTTTAAGATGGAAACTTAAGGGAGATTCAGAACAGGCACAAATAAATACAAGAACTGGTTAAGGACAGACAAGAAAAATTATAATGCCACAACAGAGCCAAATATAATCCTAAACCACTGTTGAGTTAATAAAAAAAATTGTAAATTAAAAAGCACCAATTCCTTAAAAGCCTCTTTCTTAGCAGCCAGTAACAACATGAAAGCCCACCTGCCTCTCACTGAACAACAACAGAGAAGGAGGCAGCCTAGCTTCCTTTTGCAGGAGGTTCTGTACACCAGAAATTGGCTTTGGAAATTTATTTAATTTTATTTAAAATATTAATTTATTTAAAATACTTTTATCCCACCTTTCTCCTTATGAAGTCTCGAGGCAGCTATGCCCTCTTGATAAAATTCTGATAATATGTGTTTACCAAATAAGGTTTTTAATATATTTCAGTATATACCTCTCATATTAAAATTTAAATTTTCTGCACATCATGGCCCTATTGTAAAACTTCTGAGAATCATCACATTTCTTCTATACCCTTTGCATCATTTGCAAGGGAGCCTTATGTGTGCCTGAACACTGCCCGTGTTAGAAAGATCCAAGACAATAAGAGAGAAACTTGGCTCTTGAAAGTGGTTGCATATAATTTATTAAGCACTGCCCAACACTGTTCCTAAAAATGGCTGGCAATTTTAAAATAATATACAGACACTTTGTGTATTTTTGTTTGCAATTTCAAAAAGATAGCGATGTTAGGACACGACTATACAATGGGGAAAATCTACATGGAGTTGCTATGAATTCACACTCAGGAGGTCAGGTTTTCCTGGGTAATAGCCAACAACATAGGGATCAGCAAAGAGAGCAGAGAAAATAGGCAGGTAATACTTGTTTGCAGCTTGTTAAAGCAGCTTCTACTGTAGTTGTCAAGATTTACAAAAGGCACAGCTACAACAGAGCTACCTTAACAATCTGCAAAGAAGTGCTAATAAACAATTTCCTCCTTCCCCAAGCAAGCAAGCTTTATTAGCAATAATAATGGTGGCACTTTCGTAAGACACTTGAGGGGAACTGACCTTTGTGAGCGTCCCTTTGCTTCCTTACACTGCCAATCACCTGCACTCTTATATACATTTGTCTATGCCAGCTCAAGCATTCACAGCACCTGAAACAATGCAAATGCATTGCCCAAAAGAAGAAGCGGCTCCACTGGCAAAGGAAAAATCAGATATGGGGGAGGACTCTGGGTTGATTTGCATTTTCTACATTGTGTGGTCAACAGAAAATAATATGAATCTGACCGCCCCAGTCCTGGAACAATTCCCATATTATTTGCCAATATAGTTGTCCATTAGTCTCAGTACATGTAAAAGAAGCAAATAAAAGATTTGTGGCATCTGAAGACAAGCAGATTTATTTTAGTGCCAGCTTTCGTGGATTGCAATCCTCTTTTTCCATGTGTCTGAAAAAGTGGATTTAAACTGCAAACACTCATATTGAAATAAATGTATTAATCCTTAAGGTGTTCAAAGTTGTTTCTGTTATACATTTTTGTTATACAGTGTCGTTATTATGTTTTCAGTACCGTAATTTCTTAACTGTTTTTCTTCCTAAAATAATATACAGCAATACTGAGTTGCCATCAATTTGATTGCAAAAGCCTCAGGGACAGCAGGAGGGGACCTCTAGGAGTCTCTTTCAGAAGCAGCACTAGAATATTGCAAGAAATTCGCATTAAAGAAGTTACTTGAACTGCACTAGAGAACATCACAGACTATCAGCTAAGTCAGTGGTTCTTAACCTTTGTTACTCGGATGCTTTTGAACTGCAACTCCCAGAAACCCCAGTCAGGACAGCTGGTGGTGAAGGCTTCGGTTACTTGAACTGCACTAGAGAACATCAGAGACTATCAGCTAAGTGATTAAAAAACAAGATCCTACCTCTAGTTCTAGCAATAGTCTCCACCATTTTGAATAGCCCTTCATTAAACCTTTATTGGCATTTGCCTTTCAAACTGTCGTTCTCTTGCGCAGACAAGAAAAACCTTTGTTGCCAGAAAAGCATTTTGGAGAAAGTGGACAAGTGACGCATCAGTGAGTTGCCTGTCTCTCAGTTCTGACTTCTTATGTTATGATTATCACTGAAACCTACAGGGGTCTAATAAGAAGAAACACCACTAATGTCATTCAGACTTTTATAGCTGCAGCCTAACCTCTGTTTTCTGAAGACCCAACAAAAATTCAACCAGCAACAATAACTACAAATAAAATTATGCTGCACCAAAATAATTCACTCTTCAGTACTCAGTTTTCACTGCAATAATTATGCAGTTTACACACATTTCTATGGCTCCAGTTCATAGAACTGATTGTATTTGGGGACAATGGTAGGGACAAAAGGTAGCAAGAACAGAAAGTCAGACTGGTTCAAGGACAACAGAACTCTGAAACGAACCAAAATGGCATTCAGTAACCATTAGAAAGAAGCCCCACCAAACCCAGCTTTGGATTCCAAGCACTGTTTGCACAGTCTCATACGCTTCTCTGCATCTAAGTAACATCTCTTTTTTTAAAATGGAAGGATTAAAAACTATTGTTGTATTTTAGGGTGAAATTCAGCAGCAGTGCTTGCTAATTGACTGGGAGGTTTTTGTACAAGAAAATAAGTATTCCAAGCTCCAATCCAGATCAGTCATAAAAATGTTTATGTTTCTACCACGTGATGAACATCTGAACACCAAACAACCTCGAATAATCATCATCCTCAGATGTGTAATCAGTTATACTGCATATGGACTCTTTGTGGGTTTATACAGATTCATAGCTCTGACAAGGATTTTAACAAACCACAGAACTTATATAAGACAGAAAAGAATGCTGCTATGCATGGCAGAACATTTGTTCCAGCTGGAATCCTGAAGTTAACTTACTTGTGTAACTAGACAGTTTAGGATGAACAAGGTTTACTTTGGCATATTTCTCTGCTTCCTTGGCTGCTTTTGCTGACCAGGCTCCTGTAACCACATAATCAGCACACCTTGCCTCTTTTAGCCCAATAAGGTTCAGGGGAACACCGCTAAACTGTCCCGATCCACCTCCTTGGAGAAAAATCACTTTGTAGTTTTCTGGTATATTGCTGTGTAAAAGAGAAAGGGGTGGGAGAAGTATTCTGTTGAATCAAGATCCGTAACATTCTTCTGTTCCATTATTGTCACTCTTATCAGACGCCTGGTGGACACCAGATTTTCAAAGACAGCAGACAAACAAAAGAAATGCTCCTTGTCAAAATGTTTCAGTGTAGCCTCCTTTCAACACATTTCATGTGAATTTTTAATTGGGTAAACATCTGAATCTTAATTTGTTGTAATCTTAAATGTGTATATATACACTGTCTTGTATCCTTTTATTGGAGAAAGACATTTTATAATGGTCTAGAGGGGCGGGGTATAAATTTAATTAATTAATTAATTAATTAATTAATTAATTAATTAATTAAACAAATAAAACAAATAAAATCCAAGACTATTACCTCTAGTTTACTTGGTTTGCGATTAACTCTGGTTTTGACAACAGGACTCTGTTCCCCTAGTATTCCAAGATTTCCAAAATGGACAGAAAGAGGTGGCTTTAACATCTCCCCTTTCTTTCTTGCCTCTTCTTTGCTTTTAAGTTATGCTCATCCCTACCTTATTCTGCTCTTTAGAAATACTGGATTCATTCCATCTAGTCACTTACCTCTCATTTTAATCAATATGAGAACTTAAATCAGGACTAAATTTTGTTTCACTGCCTATATGAGGAAATGAATGCAAATTCTTGGTTTGACTAGCCACAGAGTTGTGCATGGATATAAGTGCTAATTTGTCTCCAGTCACTTAATGGTAAAACCAATAACCAAACCTACACGTAAGGTTTCTAAACCCACATAAGGTTCGTGCCACAGACAGAGGCACAAATTGCCTTGCTTTATTTCTGTCTGGATAAAACAGGCATTCAGAACTTTTGTATTAAAGAATCTCATACATGGAGATGGAAAACTGTACTACAGCTATAATGTCTTTTAACACTGACAATATTTTTCCCTTTTAAATAAAAATACTGAAAATTATAACTTACAGGAGTTCCCGCAAGCAGTTTTCTGCTGTTTTAATGATTTTTGCAAAATCAGATGTTCTGTGGCTCATTTCTATGATACAAAACAGAATTTTTTTTAAAAAATCATGAGACACATAATCAGAATTAATTAATTTGTTAAAGTCACGAGGAATGCTATGGGCAACACGAAGCTTGAATGAAGCCTTGTTTTTTAGTCAAAACACAGCAATGATTTTCTTAAAACTTTAATTCCTTTACTCTCCCACTGGCCATGCTGACTGGGGGGATTCTGGAAGACGTAGTCCAGAAAAGCAGGTTTTCTAAGCTCTGCTGTCTGAATGTTTTTGCTGATCCACAGGTACCTTCCCTTCTTCACATACCACTACATGCACCAGAGAGCAGATGAAAACTACATACAGTGCAAGTTATGATATCTGGGTAGCGCCATGCATGGATTAGCTTCCACTGGTGAAATGAACAGTGCTTTCAGGCCCAGAGTTCTTTGATACTGCTCAGTCATTCATTATGTTTGTTTCCTCTCTAAGCCAAGAGGCAAGCATTCTAGCCCCCTATTATTTTAATCATCATCTAAAAGCAACAGCTTGAAGAAAGAGACACTTTCCTCTCCTTGTAGGCAATCCCCACGAGCCAAAACATGAAGGGGAAACTGTGGTCACATTTCATGCGAAGAGTCTGAATGACCAAAACAGCCTCTCCCTCTTTACTTGATGAATGTGACGGTGGAGGAGGAGGGACTAGGACACCCTCCCCACCGCATGTAGAGATGCCACAAAGCTTTCACACCCATTAGCAAAATGAGGGCAAAACACTGATTACTTTTCAGTCTACTACTGCATTGCTATAGAACAGTTCAACCCAACCCAGTGCTCTACAGATGTTTTGAACTACTTGACTCAGGAGGAGGACTAAAGCTGACAGGAGCTGAAGGCAAGGAAACTGCTGAGCTGGGGGAAGCTGCTGAAGAAAGTACAGCAAACGTAGCTGTGGGCTCAATTCACTTCACAAAGAAGGGGAAAGGGGAATAGTAAGAGATGATGTTGTACAACAGTGGCTAGAGCAGCACAAGCTCAATTAAGAAAACCCAAGTGTAGCTGAACTATGAAGCTCACTGGGGCTAATATCAGACCAACCATCATTTCTCAGCCCATTATCCCACATAAGGCAGCTATGATTTAAAATAGGATTACACAACGGTTGTTGGTTCTCAGTACAAGGGCTAAAATTTCAGGGAACAGATATGCTCCCTGAGTTTCCAGACTGATTTCATGGTAAACTGTGCGGGAGAAGAAATTACTGGTTTTCAACTCTGGACACTTGTCCACACCAATTCTCAGCTTTGACCCAGGCCCATTGGCTGGGTACCAAGGTATGTGGTACCAAGGTAAGCATTTGGGCTTACTGTGGTACTTGAGGAAAGCAAGGGACACAGCACCTTGAGAGCCTTCTTATGCAAGTCCTGGCAGCAGCAGGGCAAAGAGGGGTGGGAAGGTTATGGACTTGCAGTAAACCTTCTAGAAGCTCCAGTAGCAGAGCGGGGCCTGGAAAAATTCACCACACATTGTGTATCCTGTTGATAAGAATTCAAGCCCTAACCTGAATGGCAGCACCTACAGTAGCTATTGAGCACATTTTACTACCTGCCTGGCCAACAAATCCCCCTCCCCAGGCTCTGGCTTGTTATAACACCTGGTTACCCAAATGAAACTGTATTCTGCAATAATTCACTTTCACAATAAGATGGCCTAAAAGTATGTTGGGGGCCCTATTCATGGTCTGCCTCACGTCTGCAACATCGTAAAAGTCCATCCCCTGTCTTATGTTTTGGCCTCAACATCTCAGGAAGGAGAGGCTCCTTTATTTGGCAACCTTTATCCTCCACCCCTGCAGACATTCACAATTGCAAGAATCCCACTGACAATTTACGTGTGTGTCGGCTGAATTATAAAACTCACCATACCAAATTGCTGCTAAAATGACGAGTCGTCACATTACTATGGGCATGTCTGTTGTGCATTTGGGCATATGCCATGTAACATGATGATCAGCATCTTGTTAGTTAGTAGCAATTCGACACAGTTGAGTTACACAATTTAACCAATGCATGTGTAAATCATCAACAGGATTCTGGTTATTGTATATTGATCTGAGTTCCTCAGAAAAATGTGTGAAAAAAATAAGACAAATGTGTTTTTATTTCTAATTGATCTTAAGTTTTGAGAAACTGGGGTTGTTAATTTCAATTTTATTGTGAACGCCTATTAGTTATTAATCCCGATTGCAGTTTTCTGTAGTTGATGTTATATTACTATTACAGTGGAGTCTCGACTTACGGTCGGCTACACTTAAGTACTTTTCGACCTACGGAATTCTCCGGCCACAAAGTTTTACTTCGACTTGCAGCCGAAGAATCAGGGCTTTCCCTTTCCCCACCTCCCCCTTCCAGTCTATAGGCCGTAGGTCATGCCTCGGGATGCCTTCCAGGATTTAAGTACTTTTCGACTTTTCAGCGGCGGGGGGGGGAACCTTGGAAGGCATCCGGAGGTTCCCCCCTCCAATCCGAAGGCTCCCAGCAGTGGCGGTGGGGGACCTC